GGGAATCTCTCCCAGTCTTTCTCAGGTCTCTAAACTTTTTCCGGTATGCCTCCGGAGTTACCGCATATCTGGCCAACAAAATGTCTTTTATTTTCTCATAATTATGTATGTCCCCCTCAGGTACTGCTCGCAGCGCCTCGGCTGCTCTACCTGACAATTTACTGCTGAAGACTGCAGCCCATTTGGTGGAGTCTAATCCCTCCAGTGCACACTGACGTTCAAAGTCTTGCAAGTAACTGTCAATTTCCATTTCATTGTCAACAAATGATTTAAACGCTGCATAATTTACCTTCTTTGGTATTTCCCCAATACTTCTCGGGGAGTGTAGCAAATCCCCCTGTGACGATCTGTCCCGGTCATCTCGCTCTTTTTGCGCTTGTCTGGCTTGTGCTACGACCTGCAGTATCGCCTCTGAGGATGGATTGGGTCCCAATAAACTGAGTGTCCATCGGATGTCCTTTTGCATCACGGTTTCTTCCTCTTGATCCATCTCTATATTACTGGTATTATCGCTCTGCATTAACTCCGCAATTAACGTGGCTTTTGTTTTGTTACTTGCCACTCTGCCTCGAGCTTCCAGTAAGTCCTTTAGCGTGGTTCTTTTAAGTAGCTGGTACTGCTGAGCCATTCATTCCTTTGCTTGTTTTGAAATGTCCATTTGGGGTTCGAATCCCTCCGCTTGCCACCAGTTGTAAGGAAATCAAGTATAGCTGAACCACTTTGATAATTCCTCCTGCAATGCCAGCGTCTAAGGTAGGTCTAAGCAATGAAGTCCATAAGAAATATAACAGCTTCCCAAGATAATCCCCTTGGTAAAGCATACGAATTCCCAAATAACAGTCAGAGTCCAGAATCAGGATACAAGTAGATCTGAGGTCTGGAATCTCCAGCCTGCTTTTTATTAGGGTTACAGACAAGAAATACACACCCAGGGGGAGGCATTAAATCACCAATCAGGTATAGGTTACAGCCCCTACCTCCCTCCCCTCTGATAAACAGTTAACTTCATTAAAACGTGCACTATTTTACCCCAGTTCTGGATGTACCCCAAAAACAGGGGGTACACCTTTAAATTGGGCACCGCTGGATAGTTCTCATTTGTGGGGACAACATGTCAAAAAATCAGTCCATTCGGATGAATGGTTCGGGAGTTATGGAGCACTAAAGTTTTGACCGACCGCACGGATCATCTAGCCGAAAATAGTTCCATAAGTTTTGGCCCTGCGGTCGGTCTCCGTTTAGGCGAATAAAAGAGACGAAAGCCCTGCCATCCGTTCGCATCTTCGTGGTCGTTGAAATCCCCATACGAAGTTGCATGTAACTACCGAACGGCCGGTGATTCGGTCTTTCCCGTGCGAAGTTCTGGATGTATGGAGGTCTCAGCGGTGTTCGCCTGTTTGCGTATCCGATTTTAGTTCCACGCGTTTGACGGGCAAACACCGCTGTTTGCACGTAAAATGGCCGCGGCCACGTGTAAAGTGCCGAAATGGCGGCCACCTAGATTTTACACGGGGAATTCGCCTGAATCCATCCGAAGGGTAGAAATTAAAGCTATATGCCGAATTCCAGCTGAATTGGGTGAATTAACTGTACAACAAAGGTAGAAATCCTGATGAACGGAGTCATTTCTTCACAAAGGGTGTTTTCTTCACCAGGGAAAGAATTCTTTGGTCATCCACCACAGTTGTTTTCCGTGGTCTTCCGGGTCTCTTGGTGTTGCTGAACTCACCGGTGCGTTCTTTCTTTTTAAGGATGTTCCAAACAGTTGATTTGGCCACACCTAATGTTTGCTATCTCTCTGATGGGTTTGTTTTGCTTTTTCAGCCTAATGATGGCTTGCTTCACTGATAGTGACAGCTCTTTGGATCTCATATTGAGAGTTGACAGCAACAGATTCCAAATGCAAATAGCACACTTGAAATTAACTCTGGACCTTTTATCTGCTCCTTGTAAATGGGATAATGAGGGAATAACACACGCCTGGCAATGGAACAGCTGAGCAGCCAATTGTCCCATTACTTTTGGTCCCTTGAAAAGTGGGAGGCACATATACAAACTGTTGTAATTCCTACACCGTTCACCTGATTTGGATGTAAATACCCTCAAATTAAAGCTGAAAGTCTGCAGTTAAAGCACATCTTGTTTGTTTCATTTCAAACCCATTGCGTTGGTGTATAGAGCCAAAAAGATTAGAATTGTGTCGATGTCCCAATATTTATGGACCTGACTGTACAAGGCAAAACAAGAGAATAAATAACTAAATACTATATATGCAATAAACATTGAAGATTTAGACACACATAAATGGCCAAGATGTATGCATCCCACCGCTGCGCCAAAGTACTCCAACTATGGTGGGTCTTAACAGCCTAGTTATGCATGACTACAATTACAAGTACAATAATAAAACACACACAGTACTTACCTGCAAGGAAAGGAGCAGAGGAATGGGACTGAAACAAAATGGATAAATATCAAAGGAACTAGTGTGGCAACAGAAAGCAAACATTTAAAGGAATCCAGGAGACAGGGAATTCGAGGAACGGAATAAAGGAATGAACCCAGAAAATCCAGCATAAAGAAAACCAGACATAGAATAGAGAACCAGAAAAACCAAGACAAACTAAACCAGAATTGTAAGAAAACTACTGGATATCAGAAGCCAAGACCAGAAATAGTCCACAGATAGGAACAGGATGTGACACACCCCTCCACTTTCTTGCCTTCTCTGTCTTTTCTATATATAGAGTACCTTGGTATTGCTATATCCTAGTCATTTTTCTCATTATACCATGTCTCAGTAACAGCCACTAAATCTACATTATCAGTTACCGTTATTGCCACAAGGTCATGGATCTTTTTCCCTACACTGCGAGCATTTGTAGACATGACTCTAAGCTTATAATTTTTTAACACACTTGCTACAGTTACTTTCTGTCCTTGTTTTGGGGTGCAATTGTATTGATGTTTCATCATCCTTTTGTCCTCCCCTCCTAGTTTAAAAACTTCCTAGCAAAACCTCAGAACTGCTCACTGAGAAGATTTGTTCCCTTTTGATAAAGATGCAAACCATCTTTTTTTGTACAGTTCATTTCTATTCCAAATAGAGCTACCATGAGAAACAAAGCCAAATTCTTGCTCCCGACACCATTCACCAAGCCACAAGTTAAAGTTCCTAATACGCATCCGCCTGTCATTCTGAATGTTATGCACAGGCAGAACTTCAGAAAATGGCAGTGTGGACACCACCTGCCATATATCATTGGCAAAAGCACAAAACCCTCCCTTTACCTCAGAAACCTCATTACAAGCCAAATCATTTGTCGCTTGATGGACAAGTACACCCAATTTCCCTTTCCGCTTTGCTTGCTTAACAATATTATAAATATGCCTCCTGTCTCTGTGAGCAGTAGCTCCAGGAAGACATCTCACAAAGCCACTATTGTCCAACTCCACACCTCTTAAGATAAAATCCCCAAACAACAACTGCTTTCTACCACACCTCACCTTGTCCTTTTTGTAATTGGCAGCACTCTTGCGCATCTTAGGCATAGAAGATGGTGGTCCCACAAACTCAGTGCCTGAGCCTGTCTCCGTAACACCACTACAATCTGAAAGTGCAGAAAATGAATTATGTAAAGACTGTGAATATGCCTTTTGTTCACATCTCAAAGTCTACCAGATCCTTCCGTAATCCATCTGCCATTCCTAGGACATCTCTGCAGCAGTGGATTTACAACAGTCCCAGTCTGAGTTTGTCTAACAGATAATTTACAAATCTCTGACTTCAAAAATACTTTCTCCTGCTGCAATATAGAGAACTGTCTGCAGATTAGACAACATCCAAACCTCCAAAAAGTGGAGCGTGAAACAAAATGCACAACTATTACACTAAACTAAGTCTGCCATTTTAATGAGATGATGAGTTTAAATCAAACAAATCTTACTTTTGGTTTCTTTTTTCCCACCTTCTGTGTATTTTAGGTTAACTCCAGTTTATCTTCAGAATATCTCCAAATACACTTTGTAGCAACAATAAGAAACATCAACCAAGAGACAGGCTGATTGGTAACAGAAATACAGGCTTATTGATAACAGAAATGCATCTAGCAGTTTGACATAATTAAATCATAGCTGAAGGTGACAGCATACAATAAATTTGGGAATTCATTTGATAATGGATTTTAATAAATAGCATGTCTACATCTCAAGACACTAGTTCCCTCATAACAAAATATTACAAAATGTTTGTGCATAAACCCGTTAGCATGTTTAAGTCCATAATGAATCTCTATGAGACCAATTAAAGACTATAAGATTCCCTAACAGAAACTGCAAACATACTCGTCACTATAAATAGGTTTAGTTAAACGAGGCACTGGAAAAGCTTGTTGTAATGGCACACTATTTGGACACTTGTACAACTAAAATATGATAGTTACAGCAGTAAAGTATTTGTTACTAACTATGTTCAAGTAATATTTATTAGATAAGAGACATTAAAGGTATTAATAATCTAAAAATGTACAAAGCTCCTAGGATAGCTCACTGTGATGACTGGTGATAATGTACACAGTTGTTTTGTACCAGGGGGAGACCCAGTTCCCTGGTGAAAGTGATAATTACCAAATAATAGCACTTATATTGCACAGATCTGTTATTCCCAGGCTGTCTTTGATAGTTTTTTAAATTTAGGAAACATACATGCTTAAAAGACACCTTTCACTTCCTATAATTTTAAATAGTATGTCCACTTTTCTATATACTAAGTAAATATATATTTGTGAGGTGTGAAAACTAAAATTAATTTTAAAAATTTAGACTCCTTTCTTCTGCAACTGGGTGCTCTACTCTTTGCACCCTGTTAATTATTGTTAAAAGTCCTGTCCTGGGTGCATGGCTACGAGTTCGAGCAGAGTGGTCGCATTTATGTGAAGCTCAGACGGCCCGAGCAAAACAAAGCTATAAATAAACGGAATACCGAGCTAAGCAGACCACAGGGACCGCACATACCTCTGTCATGTCTCAGAGGCAAAAATCCAGAGCGGCAAAAGCGGACAGAGTGTCCTTTTTCCTCGCTAGAGCCTCCACGGAAAGCCTTCATACCTCCCAAGATTGCGGTGAGCCTCACTAGTGTGAGACATCTCCCTCTGCGCCGGCCTCACCAAACTGCTGCACTGAGGAGGGACCCCTAACCACCTCCAACATGAGAGCAATGATGGCAGAGCTATCTACCACAATCCAGGCTACCATCACCACCCAGCTAAAATCTCTGGTGACAGATCTGCACAGGGAAATACAGGAACTGGGTCAAAGGAAAGCCCATGTGGAGAGTAAGATGGACGAATATGCAATAGTTCATAACAGTCTAGCAGATAAATTACAAGAACTGGATGGGGTCCTGGAAGCACAACAAATTAAACTTGCTTACCTAGAGGAGAGCTCCAGGAAAAATAACCTCCGTATACGGGGAACACCAGAGGAGGTAACCACTGCGCATCTACCCAACTATCTAATGGATCTTTTTCAGGCACTCACCCCAGAAATCCACCCAGACCAGCTTATTGTGGATAGGGCGCACCGACTTGCATTCACTTCGCATCCATGTGAAGGAACGCATAACAAAGGCCTGCAGAAATGGGGACCTCCCAGAGGATCTGTTCACCCGATCACAACTACTGAGGAGGGCTTGCAGAAACTGGGTGAATGAGGTGTCCCACTGCCTGATCTCCAGCCTTCAGTTCCTGCAAAGGTTCCTCGAATGATGCTGGAGTGGAGCCAAACCTGACTTCACTTTGCTTTTATCCTGGGTATTGTAGAGAGTGGGACAATGCTTAATTGTTGAGGTTTCATTCCCACTATGGGTTATTCCTATTTGCTATAACTTTGAACCTGCTTCAGGTCTTACATGGTTATAAATTGTTATGTTCAGAGTATTTTTTGGGCCACCCTACCCAGATGGCACTGTTATGCCTATTATGCCTGTATCCATACTTTAACCATGGGGTAGATGCATAGGTTTCTTATGCATAAAATAATACGTTTCTACAATGACTACCAATTGCCCCGTGCTCTACCTCCAAGGCTCTATCCCCTCACTGACTAGCATGCATTGAGGAAACTGGAGGAATAAAAAACTAAATAAATAAAAAACATTTAAAAAAATAAAAAGTTAACTTTATGAACCCTGCTCCCTAAAGTTCCTCCTGGGATCTGTTCCATAGAACAGTACAGTTGCTCCCTGGGCTTCTTCACTGGTGGAGATGACCGCCACCACTGCCCCTCATCACGGACACGTTGCTGCTCGGAGTAGCTAAGCATTTTTCAGACACTGGTTCTGAGTTGTCCCCTTCCCTCTCCCTACCTCTTACCTTACCCACCTATACTCCCATATTTCAAATAGTACATGGTGTATACCCCCCGATTGAGTTTCTACGCAATGGCATCTTTCTAGGTATTCCTTGTTTTGCACACGGCAACAAGTACTTAGGGCTTAATTTAATCAGAGGTGTCCCTCCCACGCTACACATGGTAAAGCTAGTTACACTTAATGTAAAGGGTCTCAACTCCCCAGAAATGAGGAGGCTGCTCCTCCGAGATCGGAGGACTAATGTGTCAGGATTATTAGTTGATCCAGCACGTAGAATTGTGTCACACAGATGACTAATAGGTAATGTATTACCGGGCCTTAGAATGGCCGGACTTAACGTACCAAAGAATAGTCAGCATACTTGCCGAGGTAAGAGGATACAGAAAGAGACACAATGATAAGAGAAAGCCAGAAGTCAGAGATACCAGAATACAGGGAAGTCAAAATCAAAGCCAAAGTCAAAAACCAGAAGAAACTTGAATCAGGAACACGCTCTCGGACAACTACAAGGGAAACCACGACAAGGCACTGAGCAGGATGAGAACTGGGCCTAAATACCCCTTCTCTAGATCTGATAGGCTGTATCCATCCTTTGACCCCAAAGGCAGTTAGCAGGTTCTATTTGCATAATTGCTGCTCAGCATTAACCCATCTGTGGATTTGGTTGCTGCTCGGCACAACTTTTCCTGTGTGGACAGTAAATGCCATTAACCACATTTTTATAAGCAGATGAATACGTGACATAATGGAATAGACATAGCATGTCTCCCAAAACTCTGTCCTTATACAACAAATCTATTCCTACTCAATTTCACGCCCTTTCGGACAATAAAACTAAAGGTGTATAGGAAATGCTAAAATGTAATAAGCGAAAAAATACTTACATCTGAACTTCTAATGTGATGCAGAAATTACAAGTCTATACAGGAGACAAAAAAACAGGATACTCACATAGTGAAATATAGTTATAAAATATATATTGTAGCAAGATCCACCAGAACTACTCTCATTTACTAGAGCCACTTATAGCAGGCTCCGGCTGTGTAGACATATAAGTAAAGTATATCCAGCTCGTACAGCTACCATGCAGACCAATAAAGGGATCTCCAGGGTTTAGTGGGTAGTTTAAAACACAACGCGTTTCGACGATGAACGTCTTTTTCAAGTGTAAAACAATACTATAATACATGGTCTCACATTAATATACAAGTGACAGGAAATCAAATTTGGCGCCGATCTCCGGTGTCTGACCGGCATGCCGTAGTTCCAGAATTGCGAGAGATGATTCTTGTGTTCCAAGCTTAACTTCCTGTACGGAGGTCTTGCATTCCACATGGTGCTTCCAGTTAGATGTACTTCCAGTCATGTACATTAGGTATCAGACGAATGTTCGTAAGATTATCAGTTTATGCAACCAAAAGTCCCATGCACACGAAATGTATTCATAAAACATAAGTATCAAATGAGATAGCAAATAATGTTAATAATGCACTTCATATTAAAATTAATGTTAACGCAGGAATATTATTAATCAGAAACATAGGAAAAAAGATAACACTTTATAAATCAAAATAAAATAGAGGATAAAAAGGTGAATTGATATATAAAATAGATGTATAGATGTATAAAATAGATATAAAAAACATAAAAAATAGAAATTTAATTTAATTGGGAGGCCATAGTAATGTACCCAAGAGGAATTTTAAAATTAATTTATTTAATTAATGCTACAGATTCCCAATCAATATTAAGGTCGTTAGGGGCCATAGTGTACAAATTAAAAATCCATTTAATTTCATTCTTATTAAGACTTAGTGGGATACTATTACCCCTCCAATGGCCTAAAATTTGTTGGATACCAAAAAATAAAAGAGTCTGGATTTTTATCATGATGTTCTAAAAAATGTTGGGACACGCTATGGTTAGCATATGCTCTTTTTATATTGTATATATGTTCTCGTATCCTTATCTTAAGGGGCCTCAATGTTTTCCCTACCTATTGGAGGCCACATGAGCATACGAGAACAGAGAACATACACTACATTGTTGGTATTACAAGTAATAAAAGAATTGATTAAAAAAACATTTTTTATTATTAAAAGATTAAAAATTATCAATCTTTCTTTCTTTGTTCCTTCTAACTGTGCACCCCATACAATCACCACAGTAAAAATAACCTTTTTGTGTGCCCTTAGCTTAGATAAACACAAACCCTCCCTTGTTTTTTTTCTATAAAACTTGTAGTAAGGATTTGTTTAAGATTTTGGGCACCTCTAAATACAACTTTCAGTTTTACACCTACATACTTTTTAAAACCATTATCCTGCTGTAATATATGCCAGTTTTTCTCAAGATCTTTTCTTGAGTCTCCAGCATTAGTATTAAAATCAAAAATTATTGGAACTTCCTCATTAGCTATTGGTTCTGATTTGGTCTTGTATTTAAGAAGAGCAGGTCTCACAGTTCTTAATTTTGGTAATATCATTCATCAAGGCTTTTTTATCATAGCCCTTAATAAAAAATTGATTGTTTAAAACACTGGCTTGTTCCTCAAAGTCTTTTATATCGGTACAATTTCTCCAAAGTCTTAAAAATTGTCCCTTAGGGATATTATCCAGCCAAGGTCTAAAGTGACAACTGCTTCTTTGGATGCAACTATAAACATCGACTTGTTTAAAAAAGTTTTTTGTTTTAATTTGCCCCTCTGATATAAAGATATCCAAATTAAAAAAATTTGATACTGGTACTGTTCAAATCAAATCGTGGGTAAGCTTGATATTCCAGTCATTAGAGTTTAAGTGGTGAATAAAATCAGTTGCAGAAGCACAGTCACCCATCCAAATCATAAATATATAATCAATATATCTATTGTAAAGAACCAGGTTCTCCCCCAGCCATGCTATGAATAAATAAAGGGTTCCTCCCAATGGGCCACAAATAAATTGGCATAGGTGGGGGCGAACCTGGTTCCCATAGTCGTGCCCCTGCATTGAAGAAAATAATCACCCTCAAACTAAAAAACATTGTTGAAAAGTATAATTTTAATACCTTCTAGAATAAAGAGGATTTGATCGTCTGGAAACATATTAGAATTAGTTAGGAAGAAGCGGACCGCTGTACAGACTATTAACATCGCAGGTTATGAGTAATAGTCCTTCCTCCCAGCAGAAATGTTCCAGAAACTGTAGCAGACTCATCGTATCCTAAAATGTATGCCAAAATTCTCGCTAACATGCTTAGTCATGCTTGTGCACTCTGGAATGCCCACTCCATCTGCAGTAATTTAAAATCAACAACCATACATGACTTTTTCATCTCAAACTCACTCACACTGCTTGCACTTACAGAGACCTGGCTGTCCCCCTCTGATAGCGCTACTCCTGCCTCATTATGTTTTGGTGGGCTACAATTCTCTCACACTCCCAGACTCAACTGTAAAGGAGGTGGCGTAGGCATCCTTCTCTCCCCTCAATGTACCTTTCAACCAATCATAACTCCCCCTGCCCTATCCTTTTCTTCTATTGAAGTTCGCACAGTCCGCCTATTTAAACCCACTCCTTTAAGAATTGCTATCATCTACCGCCCCCCCCGGTTATCCTAAACTATTCATTGAGCACTTTTCTTCCTGGCTTCCCCACTTCCTCTCATCTAGCACTCCTTCCCTTATACTTGGGGATTTCAATATCCCAATCAATAACCCCAATTGCACTGATGCCTCTCGTCTGCTCTCTGTAACCTCCTCCTTTGGCCTTACGCAATGGTCCAATCTAGCAACCCATACAGCAGGAAACACTCTTGATCTTGCCTTCACCAACCTCTGTACTGCCTCTAATCTCTCCAATATTCCCTTTCCTCTATATGACCACCATCTGCTGACTTTTGACATTGGCATACCCAAGACCCAATTGACACCACCGTCTGAACATCACTCTCACAGAAACCTCAAATGTCTTGACCTAGAGCATTTCTCCACTACTCTCCAAACTCTCCTTTTACCTATCTCAAACCTCACCTGTCCTAGTTCTGCAACCTCCTTCTACAATTCCACCCTCTCCTCTCAACTAGACATCATGGCACCTTGTACATTTAAACGCAGCAGGCCCCCCCAACAACAACCCTGGCACACCAAACTCACTCAATACCTCCAAAAATGCTCCAGAACTGCTGAACGCTGTTGGAGAAAGTCTCACTGTGCATCTGACTTTCTCCACTATAAATTTATGCTAAGCTCATACAGTTTGGCTCTTACCTCTGCGAAAGTTAATTACTTCAGTACACTCATAACCACACTCTCCCGTGAACCCAAATGACTATTTCACACATTTAACTCTCTTCTTCGC